AACAAAATAAGAACAGAAGAATGTGCCTTATTTTGCCTCCTTTTTGTGTAGGTCTGGCTGTTTTGTGGACAGGAGGAGTGCTAGGGACAGGCAGGATCAAGTGTTCTGGGCCTTGTGTCTTCATTCCACCTAAGGACACCTTGAGGGAACTCTTCAAGGCACTGCCCCTCACAATGAGCTCTTAATTTCCCTCCTTTCTTTCTCCACTCATTCCTTGTTTATTCCTTGTCTGGCCCAGCAGCTAACTTTTGTAACCAAAGCAAACCAAGCCTGCCTACCCTTCCTTCACCTAGACCCTATTCTTACAGGATGGGGTAGACCCCACTATACTGGGTGAACCTGCAATGCTACATTTACTGCAAATCAGAGGGATCCTATCAGCACCCACAACATGCTGAGGTTCTGGTCCATTAGTTGCTTGGCTACCTTGTCATGGGGGATAGGGACGCGGAATCAACACACAGACTCCGGGAGCTGGTGAGAGAACTGGCTATAGACCCACCTCAGGTCGTCATCCAGTAGCTCAGTTTATTTTTGGAATGCACACAATTGTTATAGGGTTCGAGTGATCCATGCCCATCAATCACACACGAGCAAGTTAGCATCCATAAGCCAATCATCTGATGCCTAATGTAACCACACTATGAAGATGCTCTAAATATTGCTATCATCAGGAAGGGTCTTTGTCTCTAGGGAGGGGGTTTCTAAGTTAGAAGTTCCATGTGGAAGCTCCTGGCTATCAGTCTCCTGGCCTGGCAGCTTGGCAATGCTAACACAAGTGCAAAGGATGTGGTTTCACTAACGACTCCCTAGAGCAGAGCATCCCATCCTGCAGGCCTTCCTATCAGACCTGAACGAGTGCAGATTCCTCAAGCACTCCAAGCTGCTCATAGCTGCTAGCTGCCAGCTGGAAACTGAAAGTTATTCCAACAACAACAGGAGGCCCTGTGACTGTGCCAGCAGAGGCATGGCCTAGCTCAGCAGAGCATGGGGAGGATCGGAGCAAAGGAAAGAAACAGGTGGCTTCATGCATCTTTGTTCTCAGAACATTTGGCTCAGTGATCAGATTTTTTGGTGGACACTGGGGATTGAACCAGAGCTCACTCTCCCACTGAGGTACATCCCCATTCTTTTTTTACATTTTATTTTTATTTTGAGACAGGGTCTCTCTAAGTTTCTGAGGCTGGCCTTAAACTCTTGATCCTCCTACCTCAGCCTCTCTAGTAGCTGGGATTAAAGGCATATGCCAGAACACCTGGCTCCATGGTCAGCTTTGTGTGGGGATTGAAGCCACACACTGGACACTTGGTGTGGCTCAGAACAGAAATGGCCACAGCCCATGAAAAACCCTTAAGACCTGTTCATTGTTTCTGCTCTGGAGTTAGAGTGTGTGAGACAGTGGCCCATTCATACACTGTATTGGTTGCTTGGCCCCCTACACCTTCCTCCTCTCCTTCTAGCTAGGTGTCTATGTATATACTCTGTCTCTAACTGTCTTCTATTTATCTCTTGTCTGCTACTTATCTACCTGTAATTTACCCTCTGCATAACTGAGGCCGTCAGCTATGAGCTCTGTCCTGTTCTGAACTCTGGGTCTAACTCTGTCCTTTCAGGAGACCTCAAACAGCCGTGGGCCAGTGGCTCCAGGTGAATGCTCACGCCTTCCTTGTCAATGGCTCTCACTGTTGCGTCATGGAGTGAGGAGCCCCTTGCTATGTTCTTATTCTTAGGCCCTCATTTGGTTCCTGTTATGTCCTCCTGTGCTTGTGTTTCTGCCTCAGTTTCTTTCCTAGGATACCACTTCCTGGTTCCTGAGCCCTGCTCTCACAGCCCAGTTCCTCTGGTGGGGTCACTGTTTCCCATGCCTAGTTTGGATGTTTGCTCCTCACTCATGGCTGGACCCCTGCAAAGCTCTTGAGACTGGACCTGGGAAGGGCATCCTTGTTAAGGGTAGGGTTGCACTCTTACTAGGTATAGTCACAGAATTCACACACTCATGTCCTGTCTCTGTCCACAGCACTTCCTCACAGCCCTGGGAGGAATGGTAGCAGTGCCACTCATCCTGGCCAAGGATCTGTGTTTGCAGCATGACCCCCTGACTCAGAGCTACCTGATCAGCACCATCTTCTTTGTCTCTGGCATCTGCACTCTCCTGCAAGTGCTTTTTGGGGTCAGGTAAGTAAAACTACTCCCCCTGGATTTTGATTTACCAGCCAACTATCAGCAAGGTCTGCATGGCCCGCAGCTGGGGAGATGGGTAGGAAGCCGCAGTGGTGTAATAGAGGGGTGCTCCACCAATTTACCTCTTTCCCTCTCTCCATTTATCTCCAACTCAAGACTGATGAACTGTATTAGTCAGGATCTTGATGGACAGTTACACAAATCCAGATTGGCTTAGAGGAAAATGGGTTTTTTTAGATGTTAATGGATCTTTATTTTATACATTTATTTATATGTGGTACTGAGAATTGAATCTAGCGCCTCACACATGCTAAGCAAGTGTTCTAAAACCGAGCCATAGCCACAGCCACAGTCCCGAAAATGTGTTCTTTATGAACTTAAAAGAACAAACTGAGAAAAAGGCAGGGTTACATCCATGTCTCCAGAACAAGAAGAACCCAGGACTCAAATGCCATTGAGCTCTCTGCTATCTCCCTCTGTCTCTGTTTCTCCCTGTATCTGCTCAGGCCTTGTTTGTATCAATGGAGATTCAAAGATTCCACGTGTGAAGGTAAGAAACTCAAAACCCAAGCTGACAAGCTCTGAAATACAGCATGTCCCTGTCTTCCCACCTGGAAGGCCAGGTTTGGATTTTTATTTCTCTGGCTCCTTAGAGTTCTCCTTTGGAGTCTGGCAGTACAGGGACACCAGCCTCCAGCCTGTTCCCCACCCACCCCACTTCATGCTTTGCTCCAGATCACAAATGGTCTCACAGGCATGAGCGAGGACACCCCAACCCGCTCATCCAAGCTTCCCACAACAGACTCCCCAAACAGCTGGCCCTTTGCCAACCTTCAGGCCTGGGGGTGCACCGTTCCTTCACTGTCTGCTCTAGCACATCAGGACTGGAAAGGGGCCCAAATGGGCACAAGGCCACTCAAGCAGAGAAGCTGAGAGACTCATGGGGAGGGGGCCTCTCCCCTTGATCCTTTCTCCCTGAAGGAGCCATGCTCCATACTCCAGAGCTTAGAGCTAAGTGTAGGCTGCATACCTGTACTGGTGGGGAGGGCAGGACTCTGACAGCATCTGAGATTTTTCTCTCAGGTTCTTTCTTTTTCTTATGGTACATTATAGTTGTACATATTGATGGGATTTTTAAATTACATACTCCTATGTGCTCATAATAAAGCAATTTAATTTGGTCAATGTCACCCCCAGCACTTCCACCCTCCCTCCTTTTTGGTCCTTTTCCTCTACTGGTCTCCCTTTGATTTTCACAAGATCCCCACCACCACCACCTTTCTTTTCCTTTTTCCTCTCTAGCTTCTGTATGAGTGAAAACATATAACCCTTGACCTTTCGAGTTTGACTTATGTCACTTAACATAATGATCTCTAGGTCTGTCCATTTTCCTGCAAATGACACAATTTCATATCTTTCTTTAGGTCTGAATATATATATATATATCACTTTCTTTATCCATTCATTCATTGGTGGACATCTAGGTTGTTTCCATAGTTTGGCTGTTGTGAATTGTGCTGCTATAACATGGGTATATATGTACCCTGTTTAGTAAGTTGACTTTATTTCTTGAGAGTAAATACTGAGAAGTGGTATAGCTGTGTCATATGGTGGTTCCATGCCTAGTCTTTTGAGGAAACTTCATACTGATTTACATAATGGATATACTCATGTACAACCTCATCAATAGTGTAAAGTATTCCTTTTTCTCCACATCCTCTTCAGCATTTATTATTATTTGCATTCTTGATGATTGCCATTCTAACTGAAGTGAGATGAAATCTCAGCGTATCCTTGATTTGCATTTCCCTACTTGATAATACATTTTTTTCATGTATTTGTTGGCCATTTGTATTTTTTCTTTTGAGAACTGTCTAATTCATTTCCCTATTTATTAACTGGATTATTTGATTTTTGGTGTAAAGTTTCTTGAGTTCTTTATATATCTGTATATTAATTCTGTTAGATGAGTAGCCAGCAAAGATTTTCTCCCATTCTGTAGATTTTCTCTTCACATTCCTAATTGCTTCCTTTGCTGTGCAGAAATTAATTTGAAATCATTCCATTTATTAATTCTTGGCATTATTCTTGAACTTTAGTGGTCCTACTGAGAAAGTCATTGCCTGTGCTTTATGGTGGAGTATTGACTCTGTGTTTTCTTTTAGGATTTGTATAGTTTTTGATTCCTAGGTCTTTGATCCATTTTGAGTTGATTTTTGTGCAGCATGAGAAATAAGGGTCTAGTTTCATTATTCTACATATGAATAACCAGGTTTCCCAGCACCATTTTTTAAAATAGCTGTCCTTTCTCCAATGTATGTTTTTTGCACCCTTGTCAAGGATCAGATGACTAGAGATGTGAGGATTTGTCTCTGTGTCTTCTATTCTGTACCATTAGTCTATGTCTGTTTGTAAGCCAGTACCATGCAGTTTTTGTTACTATAGCTCTGCAGTATAATTTGAAGTCAGGTATTCTGTTGCCTCTAGCATTGCTTTGTTGGTTTAAAACTGCTTTGGCTATTCTGGGTTTTCTATTCTTCCAAATGAATTTAGGACTGTTTCTTCTAGTTGTGTGAAGACTGTAATTGGTATTTTGGTGGCAATTTTATGGAATCTATATATTGCTTTTTGATAGTATGGCCATTTCCACAAAATTAATACTGCCGATCCATGAATATGGAAGGTCTTTTCATATTCTGATGTCTTCTTCAATTCTTTCATCAATGATTGATAGGTTTCATTGTAGAGGTCTTTTACCCCCTTACTTAGATTTATTCCTAGGCATTTCATTTTATTTTTTTAAGCTATTGTGAATGTTCTATTTACCTGATTTTTTCCCCAGCTGATTCATTGTATATAGAAAATCTAGTGATTTTTGTATGCTGATTTTGTGTCATGCTATTTGTCAAATTTGCATATTGGCTCTAGCAGTCTTTTGGTGGATTTTTTTGATCTTCTAGGTATAGGATCATATCATCTTTAAACAGTGATAATTTGACTCCTTTTTGCCCTTTTATTTCCTTCTCTTCCTTAACTGCTCTAGCTAGAGCACTATATTAAATAGAGTGGTCAGAGTGGATGTCCTTATTTTGTCCCAGTTTTGAAGGAAAAGCTTTCAGTTTTTTCCATTTACTCTGAGGTTGGCTTTGGGATTTTTAAATATAGCTTTTATGATGTTGAGGTAGGTCATTTCTATGCCTAGATTCTTTTGTCTTTTTAATCATGAATGGGTGCTGAATTTTGTTGAAGACCTATTGAAATGACTAATTGATTTTTTTCTTAATTCTTTTTATATGAGGAATTACATTTACTGATTTTTGCATCTAAGTTTATCAGGGGTATTGTTCTGTAGTTTTCTAATGTAGTTTCCTACATTAGATGTGTCCTTATCTGGTTTTGTTATGTGTGTAATCCTGGCTTAATAGAATGAATTTGGAAGTGTTTCATCCCTTTCTTTTTTTTTTTTTGTAGGTGTCAACAAACGTGCTTTAAAACACACACACACACACACACATACACACACAAACACACACACACAAACACAAACACATACACACAGTCACATACCAGTGTGACAAATATCCCTTCTATAAGATAGCTCTACCACAGTCAGGCCTCCTGGAGATGCTCCAGAGAGTGCCTAGGCCTGGAAGTCTTCACATGACACTCAGTAGGGGGCATTTTTATTAAATAAGTGGGGAGAAGCAAGGTGCACCCCAGGTATATGCTGTCTGAGGGCCTCTTGCAGGACCAGAGCTCTGCTGCACACTCTTCATCAACTCTTCATTCTGCATAGACAACTCTGTAGACTTTTTGCCCATTCATTCATGAATGTCCGAATCATGCTCTTGGACAGTTCTGCTTCCTTATAGTGGAGAGACACACACTTCTGGTGGCAGGCACTGGTCATTCTGTTGTGCATGTCGACCATCATCTCCACTTCTAGCTCTGTTGCCAGCTGTTGGGCCCTGAGCAGATCCATCTCAGCCTAGCACAGCCTAGCACCGTGCAAGGAACTTCCTCCTGGTGTGCACAGCCTGGTGCAAGACACAGTTCCTACCATGTCCCTAATTTTAACAAATATTAGAACCTCCCCTTGTGACCAAGTAGATCATGGTGGAAGCATGTGGACCACTTCCAGGAGAGCCCATCTCTTTCTATTTCATGGGATAATTTGAGAAATTTGGGCATTAGATGTTTTTTTAAAGGTTTCATAGAAACCTGCTGAGAATCCATCTGGTCTTGGGCTTTTCTTCATTAAAAGGCTTTTTATTACTGATTCTATCTCATTACAAGTTATTAGTTTGTTCATTTTTTAATGTTCTTTTCATTCATTTTTGCCAAATATATTTGTCTAGAAATATATATGCATTTCTTCTAGATTTTCCAATTTATTGGAATCTAAGTTGTCAAAATAGTCCCTAATCATCTGCTAGATTTCTGAAATGTATCTGGTGATTTTTTCTTTTTCATCTCTAAGTTTATTAATTTGGGGTATCTCTCTTTTTCTTTTGGTTAGTTTGGCTAAGGGCTTTTCAATCTTATTTATCTTTTCAAAGGAGCCAGGCTCCATCTTCCAAAGCTCAGGTCTAAGTATAGGCTGCTCTCCTCCTGGTTTGAGGACAGGACTCTGACAGTGTCTGAGCTTCATTTTCTCAGAGAGGTTCTTACTGTGTTTATTAGGCATGGTTCTCCAGAGAAGCAGAAAGAATCGGATGTGTATGGCCATATAGAAGATGAGATTTGTTACAGAAATTGGCTCCTGTATAATTGGAGTCCAAGAAGTCCCATGATCTGCCATGTGCATGCTGGAGAGTCAGGAACTATGGTGGCGTGACTTGGACTGAGTGCAAAAGCCATCCATGGAGTGTGGTGTGGAAGGTGAGAAGCCAACTCCTCGATGGAGTCTGAAATCTGGGGAACCAGGAGCAGCAAGGTCTGAGGGCATAAGAAGGGGGATGACCCACCCAAGAGGAGAGAGATTTCATGTTTCC